GGATCAGGCGCTTGCTGGATGATAGTGCAAAAAAAACATAATGTCGCAAAATGACAAACAATCACGGAAAATTGGTCGCGTGGCCAACCGTGTTAATATCTTGATTCCGTCTTTTTTGTACTTGAATGGATCTTCGTCGAAAACTCACTCAAGATATAGCCGAGAACCAAGGAGTGGACACAACATAAATGGGGGCCGGTGAAATCGATCTGTCGTTCGCTTGTTGAAACCGTACAACGTATCCACACGTCGCGTGGTTTCCGTTGGTTTCTTGAACAAAGCTGACAGCGACAATAAGTCATAAGACTCTCTCCTCGCCAGTGTTTTCCCAAGAACACTGAAAATAAAAAATAATAGGGTGTACCAAAAAATGTACAAAAACCCTTTCACCGTCACTATCTCCATGTCCCGAGGGTATGGAAAAAGATAGTGTTAACGTGTCATTACTATCTCCATGTCACAAGGATATGGAAAAAGATAGTGGTAACGTTTCATTACTATCTCCATGTCACAAGGATATGGAAAAATATAGTGTTAACGTGTCATTACTATCTCCATGTCACAAGGATATGGAAAAAGATAGTGTTAACGTTTCATTACTATCTCCATGTCACACGGATATGGAAAAAGATAGTGTTAACGTGTCATTACTATCTCCATGTCACAAGGAGATGGTAAAAGATAGTGTTAACGTTTCATTACTATCTCCATGTCACACGGATATGGAAAAAGATAGTGTTAACGTGTCATTACTATCTCCATGTCACAAGAATATGGAAAAAGATAGTGTTAACGTGTCATTACTATCTCCATGTCACAAGGACATGGAAAAAGATAGTTTTAACTCGTCCCCATGTCGTTAAAAATAAAACTTTAACATAAAAATGAAACAAATTTGAGACGCAGAACAACAGCAGATAAAAATTTTGAGCGCTCTATATCTGGCATTGTTGCTCAATTCCTTGCTTCGGTACGTCTTCGCTTCCTAGTTCGGCAGGGTGATGCTTCGTCCCCCTGCTTGTTGAGGGTGCGAACCGAAGTTGTTTTAGGAGGCGCGATAATATCCAAACCACAACGGATTCGGTATGCAGCTATCATTTCTTGACATTGTGGTACCTCATCTGCGCGGTATTCGAGGTCTGACTCCGGGCCATACCCTCGAAGACGCAAACGGTATCGGTAATTAAAAGGAGTCCTCGGACCCCGACCACTTTTGTGGCTTACCACTTTGTCTACAACATAAGACTCAATTCTTGGTTGGGCCTCATCAGGGTCGATAGCGGGTAACGGAATCTGTCGCCCTAAAAAGAACTCAGCGAGTTTATCAAAGTCGGGCGCAGGCGTTGTTTTCCTCGAAATATCGTTTAATATGGGCTAGGTGAACCGAAACTTCTCGAGTTTCTTTTGGCCGTCTCACTCGGTATACTACGGGTGATAGTTGCGAGCAGACGACGTATGGTCCCCGCCAAGGTAACAGCAATTTCGGGTTGGGGCCATCGGAATCCTGATATGGTCTGTATACCAGTACTTGATCGCCAGGTTTAAACACGGGAATCGGTCTCAGTTTTGAATTACTCGCCGCTTGCTTTTTTGTACGTTCCGTTAAGTTTCGGCGCGCTAATTCGAAAGCAATTTGTAAATTTTCCCGCGTGTCTTTCGCAAGTTCTTCGGTATTGGCTGTTGTTCCTACATGAGGAATACCGAGAATGATATCGACAGGTAGTCGTGGTTGTCTGCCAAACATGAGGAAAAATGGAGTTTCATGCATGGTAGCACTAAAAGAAGTGTTATGCGCCAGTTGTATGAAAGGTAGTAGCGACGCTCAGTTATCACGCTTCATTGAACTATGCATGGCAAGCATTGCGTGCATCGTTGAATGTAGTCGTTCCGACACAGAATTCCCTTGCGGACGATATGGTGTTGTGCGGGTTTTCTTGTAGTTCAGAATACTCTGTAACTGGTGGATCACACTATTCTCAAATTCAGGCCCTTGATCAGAATGCAACAACTCAGGCGGTCCAAAAATGCCTATGATGCGGTCAATGATAGCCTGAGCAACTGTGACAGCTGATTTATTCGGAATCGGAGTCAACACGGTGAATCGGGTTAGATAGTCCATCATGGATAGGACATATTTGCATCGTACGCCGGCGGCTGACATCGATTCGCTCTTGTATTCAACTAAGTCCACTGAAACTCGCTCAAACGGTCGTTGTACTGGTACGTGTCCAGTTGGCAGTTTGGTGCGATTGTGCGCGGTTTTCCGACGTTGGCATGCTTGGCACTCCTGACACCAAGTGCGAACGTCCCGACTCATGTTCGGCCACCAATATTTTTGGCGGATCTTGTCATAAGTCGGTCTAGATGCTAGGTGACCTCCGGACAAAAACGTGATCATGGTAAGCGTGCAAAACTAAGCCCGTGAGAGCTTGTGGCAATACTAATTGATCAGTGAAAGTACTCCGTTTCCTGAGGTAACCTGGTAAATACGATTTGAACAGCAATCCGTCTCGTACAAAATAATAGGACATGGTTGTTGCTGTTTCGTTGTCCGGGACTCGTGCGTTTTCCCCCACAAGATAGTCGATGTATTTCCCATACTCGGCTGCTTGTTTCTTTCGCAAGATGTCTCGGTTCATCGTTTCAAAAACGTTGGTCGCGCTGATGTAAACCGAATTAATGGTAAACAATTCGCGATCACTTTGCACTGGTTTCAAATTTTCCAGGCGGTCTGCGGCCACTTGATAAGGTCTGTTCGGTACAGCTACATGCAAAGCAGGATCCTTGGGGACATTCCTACAAATCGGTGTTAGTTTCGGGGCTTCTAAGTGTTGCTGGTACTCAATAGCAAACAACCGAGATAAGGTATCCGGAACAACGTGTAACCTCCCCGGCTTGTGTCGCACGGTAAAGTCAAACGACTGCAGAGCGATAGCCCACCTAGTCAGCATATTTGAAGTGTCCTGCATGGTGTACAAGTATCTCAGCGCAGCATGGTCCGTCACAACTTCAAAATGTCTGCCCCATAAATAGGGCCGCCAGTGCTGTATTGCTAGTACGACGGCGTAACATTCTTTCATGGTTGGGGAATAGTGGCGCTGAGCATTGTTGAATCGTTGGCTGAAATACGCAATAATGTTGAGGTCATCTCCTGTTTGCTGCGCAAGGAAAGCTCCAGCACCTGCTTCGCTGGCATCCACGTGCACGACGAAGTCTTTTGTACAATCGGGAAAGTGTAAAATAGGTGCTTCCGTGAGCAGTCGTTTGACTGTCGCAAACGCCTCATCATGTTCGTTTCGCCAACGTTTTGCAATCGATTTTACGTGCTCTTTTTTAGTGAGGTCTACCAACGGCGCTACCACCGTGGACAAATCTGGGAGAAATTTCCTCACAAAATTTATCATGCCTAAAACTGGACGGAGTTCTTTGATCGTTTTAGGAGCGGGCAGGTCAACAATAGCTTTAATGCGGTCGTCTCCGATTCGAATTCCTTTCGCAGACAAAATGTGACCTAAATATTTTACTTCCCTTGGCCCGAATTGTACCTTGGAAGGTTTCAATGTGAGCCCTGCGGCTTGAAGGGCTTGAAATGTATTTTCTAACAATGTTAGATGACTTTCCCAAGTCGAACTACAGCAAATGATGTCGTCCATGTAAACAAGGAGGCCCCTTCGGGGTCCAAAATGTGCAAATGCTAATGACATCATGCGAGCAAATAAAAACTGGGCGTTCGCAATTCCAAAAGGGAGACGTTTAAAAACCCATTTTCCTTTTTTGAGTTACAAAGGCGGTCTTCTCTTGCTCCGCTGCTGCAACGGGTATCTGGTGGTACGCGCTCTGCACGTCACACACAGTGATAAACTTTGCTCCACCTACTGTATCAATGTGGGCATTAATATCGGGCATAGGCCACGACTTTCGGATTAAACTCTTATTAATGGTACCGCGATAATCCACACAGAATCGAGCCCCTGAGAAAACAAGATCTTTGAGTAGGTCTGCGGGTTTTGAGACGAAACGAGCAGACGTACCCGTAGTGTGCGCTGACGGGTGTTCATCAGCGCGCACAGTAGAGTGTGTAGGTGAGGCATTCGACATCACTAGAGGGTCGCTAGTCCTGCTGGTGTTGTCGATTTCTCGTGGGGTCTCTACGGATTGCGGAGAAAAATCGTTTAGTAATTGCCGAGACGAGATAGGTGACTGCTGTGAAGCAAAATTAGATGGTATGCTGTTGTCACGCCGGAGGTTCGGGCGGGCACTACCCTCGCTACCAACGTTGGGTTCGTGTCGGACAGCAGGCATGCTACCACCTACAGTATTCACCTTTCGCGAGTTGGCGGGCAGTACAATGGACATGAGCCATTCGGGAGGTTCGGTCCCATCACGGTGGTGCTGTTTCAGCATCTCCACAATGGGTGCACCAGCCGGAGATGATATAATAGAACCTCGGGCTCCTCATCCTCGGGTTCCTCCTCATCTGCCCAACGCCCTCCCGGCCGGCGGCAGGAGGAACATCCTCATACTCGTCTCCACTCTCGCCGTCAACACACGTGTCGCGCTCACCGGAATCACCGCCATCTTCACCGCCGCTGGTGGCACTCGCGCGGTCGGCACCCTCAGGGTCATCCGACTTTTCCTCAAGAAGGCTGCTATCACCCGAGGGGCGTGAAGCCGGCACGCGTTCCGAGGGTGCCCCACGTGCTAGCGAGGTTGTCGGGTGTTTGGCGGCGAGGCGTTGCTTGAGCTGCTCTAGCTCAGCTTCCAGCTCAAGGCGGCGTTGCTGCTCCTTGAGCCTCTTTTCGTCCGCCGAGTCCGCCTTATCGCGAGCGCGTTGCACGGCTGATTTATTCGGCATCTCTCACCTCTACCTCCAGTACCAGCAGAGTATCTTTTAATTCGTCGACGCCAATGAGGACACAGGCTTCCCTCGTTGGGGGGGGGGGCCAGGTCGCAGTAATCTTTTCCCACTACTAAGGGCTGGCAGTTCTCTTCCTCGAAATTTAAAGAGGAAAGGGTCTCAAAAAAAAAAAACAAAAAAAAGTGCGCCCCCCAAGGGGCAAGGGAAACCAAGCCCGAGGGTCTCGGATTCCCAAGCTCCACAGGTGGCGCCAAGAGGGACGCATCCACAGTCGGGTCTCTTGCTGATCAACCATCAGTAAGATCCTCCGTTCGGATCGTATCTTGGTCCTACTTTTGTATGTGCAACAACAATGGTTACAGCACTTCTACACCTGTCATCCACAGAAACCGCAAATAAATTCCACCGTAAAACTGCAGACGGAACACGGCTACCGCGGCAAAGAGCACCAAGACATAACACTGGCTAAATGACGGGAAGACCGCGGAGATGTAAATCTACTGCGCAGTGATTGAATCTACGGGAAAAGTGCAGTGGTACGCGTACGAAACGTACAATGTGCGTACCCGAAAGCTACTAACAAGAAAACGATGACGAAACGAAAAATCACGACGAGAAACGGAACGGGACGGCGCGGGTCATCACCGCCAGACGGTACCAGGAAGTGATACGCTACAGGCGAGTGGGAGACGTTGACAGCAAACAAAACAAGACAATAAAACAGCGGCACTACGCAAGGAGAAGTTGGACATGACACAGATCTACGGAAAGGTCCCCAAACAGAAATCAGTACAAGCTAGCGCGAGACTTCCTCTTCCCATGGGAAGTCGTGGAGCAGGGGGAGCACCGGATGCCTTGAAACTCCACGACGCGTCCTCCTCACCCCCGCGCACTCCGCACGATCGGTGGAGGTCCCCGTCGCACAGGTTGCACGCGACCATCGCGATGTTGCCGGCCTTGGTGCACCCTGGCTCCACACACTTGGGGCAGATAATGAGCGGCAGTTCCTCCGATGCCGACGACGTGTCCGCCGCAGTACGGCCGATGCGGTCCCACTGACGACGAGCGGGAGGCGGCGGCGGGGCGGCGGCGACGTCGGAGTCGGAGCCGGCGTCGGAGTCTGCGTCGACGGGGAAGTTGACGACCCCTGCCGGGGCGCGATGAGACTCCGCAATGTCGCGCATGATGCGCTCGCGGGCGATGTCCATGGCTCCCTCCAGCTCCTGGCGGTCGTGGGAGCACACCTTCGCCTGGTCGACCGTCATCTCGGAGAACTCGCGGTCCTGGTAGTCCCACTTCGCGAAGGACGAGCTCACGCGCCCGCCCTGCCCGCCGGAGAAGAAGAGCAAGTACGCGTCCTTGCGCGTAAAAAGCGATGGGGACATGAGCGCCGTGAAGTAGGCATCGGCGCGCGCGGCCTCCATAGCGAATGCGCTGGTCGGGCAGATCCACGTGTGGCTGGGCATCCCCTCCCCGTCGTTGATGTACCACGAGATCAGCTGCACCGGTGAGACGGAGATCCCGCGCAAGTGCTCCTGCTTGAAGCGCCGAAGGACACCCCAGAAATTCTTCTTCCCGATGTCGGTTCGAAGCTCGGAGACGACGAATCGCTGGAGGGTGCGGTACTCGGCGAGGGCGATATTGACCTCGGTCCGCGACACGCCCTTGGTGACCGTCTTGAAGTGTGATCGTCCTTCGTCCTTCGAGCAGTACCCTACCATCCCTTCAACGGATAAAGACATACGAATTGTGGGAGGGGAAACGCAAGGGAAGAAAAGAGAAGGATTAGCCACTGGCAAGACGAAAGAATGTAACCGTCGAAGCAACAAAACGCAACCAGAAAAAAGTCCAGGAAGGAAAGGACGAAACGTACATGGGGTATGATAGAATAAAAAAATGTCGAGGGGGTACGCATGTGGAGAACATAAACAAAAAAATGGAGAGGGTATGCAAGAGGAAAAGAGAGAAAGACGAGCAACAGGCAAGACGAAACCTATCTGTGTAAGCAGTAAAGGGCAAAGAACCAAAAACAAACGTTGGGCGATGAACGCAAGGAACAGTAGGCAACAGAGACGGATGGGTAGACGTTATTCACAGATACAGGGCACCGAAACACACCGTCGGAAAGCAGGGCCACGTACGACAGACAACACATCAAACGAACATAAAGGAGCTACAGAAGACGTGTCTCCACTTGAAAATGAGATGCCTAAAAATACAGACGGACATTAAAGCTCTACAGAAGTCTCAAAGAGAAGAACTCACCGCTGAATGTCTGTTGCTTGATGAGGCGCTTGATGGTGATCTTCACCTTGTCCGCCGCAGTCCACCCGCAGTCCACCCGAAGCTTCCTCCTCAAGGCCGCCTCCTCCTTCTTGCTGTCACCGAAGTCCTTCTTCAGGGCCAGGGTCCAGATGCCCTGGAGGTGTAGGTTTCCGTTGATGTCTCCGCGCTCCATGCTGGTGATGCCGCGAACTGCACGCTTCGTCATCCATGCGCAGCCTTCGTTGAAGAGGCTCTCCTTGATGTTGGCGCCACTGCGGTTGCCGATGGTCACGGAGAAGTCGTGTGGAGCGCCGACGCCGCTGTCGATGATGTCATCGGCGATGTCCCCTGTGGTCGGACAGATCCAAGAGGGCTCCCTGGAAGCAGGAGGACTCTTGCGAGGGCGACCAGGACGGCGAGCCGATGTCGCAATCGCAGGAGGAGTGACGGGGGCCGCTGGTGCAGACGTAGACGGTGCTGTCGTTGAAGGAGGAGATGCCGACGAAGGTCGCGGAGAAGAGGGCGTCGAAGGCTGAGAAGCTGCTCCACCCGCTGCCCCGCCCCCGCCGTCGGGCGGGGCAGCGGGACGACCGGTGTCCTTGCGGGGACGACCTGTGTCCTTGCGGGGACGACCTGTGTCCTTGCGGGGACGACCCGGACCGCGACGCGAGGAGATCTCCGAAGCAGGAGAGGGAGGGGCGGAAGCGGCATCCTTGCGGGGGCGTCCAGCGCGACGGCGATGGACGTCTCCGGCTGCGGCTCCGGCACGGCTGGCGGCGGCCTGGGCTCCAACAGACCGACCCCGCGGGCGCCCGACAGGACGACGAGGCGAGGTAGTGGCGGGAGGACGGGTAGAAGAAGGGGAAAAGGGAGCGGCGATAGCATCGCTGGAGTCGTCCGCCGTGGGAGGACGGCGAGGCCGGGTGTCATGTCCTGTCGTGGGAAAGGCAGTGGCGGGGACAGAACATAAAGTAGCGAGGAAACAATAAGATGATATGGCATACAAATACACACGCTGTGCAATAGCAATATTTGTTGAGGCAGCGAGAGTAAGGCGGGACGATGACAAAATACCTATCCCAACAAGAAAAACTATAACGACCACCCAAGTACTCAACACTTGAACACATAACGCATTGGGGACTGCACGCAAGACACCAATGATGGTAAAAGCAGACCAAAGACAACAACAATGAGCAGGAAGAAGAGCAACCAACCAAAGGAAGTGCGTCAAGGACGACGAAGTGCTGCAGTTGTCTGGAGGAAGCAAAAAAGAGGAAGATGATACATTGAGCCATACAGACAGACACAAAACCGAACTCGATAACAGGCAATAACCTCGCCTGAAGCAGTGAACGCACCTGAGTTGCTCCTGGACCTGGACCTGGTGACGACGGCGTCACCAGGATCTATTCCAGGTGCTTGCGGAGAAGAGAGGGGTCGACCACGACCCGCCCCCCGCGCGATCGCCCCCCGAGCGGGCGTAGAAGCACTCGTAGCCGGGTCATGAACGGTAGACGAAGGCTCGTCCAGGGACGAAGTCGACGCGGTGAAGACGTCGGAACTGCGCACGGCCACGTCTGACGTCGTCGGGACTGGGGCCGCAGCCGCCGCACCTGCGGAAGAGGCTGCGGCCTCTTCAGCGCAGCCTACACGAAAAAAACGAAAGAAGAGGCGAAGGGTATGAGTATCAGTTGAGAAGAAAGAAGAGGAGATACTTCGAAGTATTGTTGCATAAATGAGTTAATTGTATTTCGCACAAGGTGAACAACAAGAAGACTAAGTTAAATGTACAGGCGGCGCAAAAGCGCAAGAAAGGGAGACACAGGGGAACAAAAACCAGAAGGGGGAGGGAAAAACCTATCTACAGCACCCAACGACAGACGGTAAGAAGGAACAGGCAAAAACAACGAACCAACTCGCGCACGTACTATGTTGACGACCGCCGAAACTAAAAAAAAGCAAAGGGAAAGAAGTTTCGAACACGGCAAGCATTACCTGCGCTTCTTTGCGGGAAGAGCGGGAAGAGCGGACGCATCGTTGCTGCAGCTTTCCTGGGAGCTGACGACCGGCACTCCGCATTCAGCCCCGCTGCCTCCGGTGTTGGAGTTGTCGGCGTTGGAGTCCTCGTCCGAACTGCTGTCGTCGCTGCTGTCGTCGCTGCCCGACTCGGAGCTGGATTCGTCTTCTGAATGGAAAAGGGAAGAAGATAAAATAGGAAAAAGATGGAATGGTTTGTTGTTGCGTCAATATAAAACCGACCGTGGCCAAGAAAGAGATTCGCTCCTTGTCAAACACAGAAATATATCAAAAGACACAAAGAGACCAAAAGACACAGAGACCAAGAAGAAGAAGTAGACGGACGAATCGAGTGAGCAACGACAACATACACAAGATGAAAAGAGAGGGAACGCAAACAGTAGTGTAAGCAGTACAGCAGTACAGCAGTAGAGGCAGGACAAATGGGAACCAGGGACGAATTGAACAAAGACAATATTATACTTGCAGACCAAACAGTAATAGAGAACAAACAAACGAGCAACAGGCAAAATGCATGGGCGCAAAAGGAACACAACATTTAAACAAAGCAATCAGATGATGTGGTATGAAACGACAAGACAACGCTACGAAACGAAAAGACAAGAAGCTCACTACGGGGGGAAAAGCGTACTGCGGTCCTGCTGTGTAGTTAAAGAAAGGGTCCAACATACTAATATGACAAACGGCAAACAACGAACAACCATGCGGGAAACTAAAAGGTCCAGTACGGTATGCAGAGAATAGTTACCTTCGCTGGAGGAACCAGTCGAGGCTTCCGAAGTGGAGCCGGACGACGGTTGGAACGCGGAGTCCGCGTCGGTGTCTGGCAGGCGTTCGACAAGGTCGTCGTCGTACTTGTTCTCGTCGGCTTGATCGTAGTCGTGGTCCGCGGAGTCAACAGATTCGTCGGAAGAAGAGCTGTCCGAGTCGATCACCTCGATGCAGGTGGCCTTGCGCTTCGGGGTTCTGTTGAGGACGTCCGAGTCTTTGATGGCCTTACGGTCTGCCTTGGTTACACTGAGTACGACGATCTTGGGGAAGAGGAACACAGTAGCAAAAGAGGGACACGATCGGACGGAGAGAGGTATGGAAAGCGAACGAAACCCCGAGGGTAGTTGGTGAGACGTTTAAGCACGCGGGTGTGCATATATATGTAGTCTATGCTTGGAGTAAGTACATGCAACCAGAGATAGGATACCAGAGAACTCACGAAGGACTAGGATATTTATATTGCGCAAGACACAGAAAGAACGAAGAGGTGAAAGAGCGTGGCGAAAGTGGCATGAACACAGAAAGGTGGGTGTACATTTAGCGTTGGACAAAACGCGAAGCTACTGGAGGGTTGTGGTGAACCGCACAAGAAGGCAGAGATGGATGACAGGAGAAAAAACACATCGAAAAAATCACGAAAGAGAGCATCGAGAGAAAAAAATGATGAACCTACATAGAAATTCGCGCAACGAAAAAGTCAAAGAAAAAGTGATGCGTACAAACTGCCGCCCTCACCTTGGCGACAGACGCTCCCAGACGTTTCAGGTCCTTCCTGAGTTGTTGTGCGACGGCCCGAATCGCGGAGTCGTCCGAGCGTTTTATGATCCACACCTTGGCAGGAATAGAGGCGACCTTGGGGACCCCAGCCGGCAGGAAGAAACCGCGGTACTGCTGTTTCTTGATGTGCTCCGGGCCGGTAGGTGAAGCCGTTCTCGATGTACAGCAGCCCAGTGTTGTTGAGAACGTTGAAAGATACTTCGTAGGATGAAGACATTCGCTTAAGAAGAGCGAGTGGTGGGGAGTAGAGGATTGTGAGGAGGAGGGGGGAGGGGGAAGGCAGGGGCAAACGTAGCTCGCGCTGCTGTTCCCAAAATTGAGTGGCTGCCCGTCCCGACTACCGTATATGACACAAGATAACACACCCCCTGGACCGATTTTCAAAGCTCGATTACTCCACGACGAAGAGGATGCATAAACGAAACAATACGTTTTCGAACAGCTCTCGACGAGACGGTTCCAACGCCGCCGTTTTCGGCGCTGTGACTCTTCCTGCTGTTGAGAAATTGAGCTTTGAAAATCGGCCAAGGGGGTGTGTTATCTTGTGTCATATACGGTACCCGTGAGCCACAAAGGCAGAAACGGGAATAACAGATTCCGCGAAGAACATTCTCCATGCGCACGCCCCAGGGCTCTGGGGCTTTTAGAGGCCGCAAGGGGAAAGCCAGCGTCCATGAGCGCATCGGCCGCCATGATCGCGAGCGCTTTTGGGAAGTTGGCATCTACAGAGCTGACCAGAATTCCCATGTTTCGGAACAGAAAGCCAGTTCGGCTGACGTGAAAAATCTCGCCGCAAAACTGACGTCATTCATTCGGTGGGAACCGTTACACGGTACACGGTTGTGCGCAGCAGCAGCACGCGAGGCAGGCACGATCACTCGACCGCGCATGCTACAACAGAACTGTCGATTGCCTATAAAGACATACTGAAGGAATGGTGACGAAACGGTAGTCACACTTATGACAGCCCGTGGACGGTGAAGGGGGGCAGCTCTCGCAATTAAACTCGAACGTATAGCCGGAAGCGGGATACATAATTCAGGCCTGAACGGTCCAGGATGGCAGTCGTGAGACTGCAGGACGTCGCCAGCGCTTTCAAACAGATTGCTAACCTCCTTCATGCATGCCGACGGACCGAGTAGGTCGACACGCGGGAGGTCGGCGCGGCGGCAGGACACATGGTATCTTATCTCCATCACACAGGAAAAAATAAATAAATAATTACTCTGAAACCAAGAGAAGCAATTTTTTTGTAGGGAGGCAAACGAAATCTCTTTGACCGAGAAAGTCCGCCCTGGCTACGGTTGGTGTACAATAAATAATCGTCGGCTGTGCAACACGCAGAGCCTCGACACCCTCCCATGGGCGTACAGCAGCAGCAGCGATTGATTGTGAGTTCGTATCCTTTTGTACTACACAGCAGTAGTTCGTTCCGTTCATGC